TTTTTTTCAACGTTTATTTATTTTTTGGGGGACAGAGAGAGACAGAGCATGAACGGGGGAGGGGCAGAGAGAGAGGGAGACACAGAATCGGAAATAGGCTCCAGGCTCTGAGCCATCAGCCCAGAGCCTGACACGGGGCTCGAACTCCCGGACCGCGAGATCGTGACCTGGCTGAAGTCGGACGCTAAACCGACTGCGCCACCCAGGCGCCCCGATGATATCTTAATAATGGGATGTAAGCGGGGGCGCCTGGGTGGCTCAGTCGGTTGGTCGTCCGTCTTCAGTTCAGGTCATGATCTCACGGTCCGTGAGTTCAAGCCCCGCATGGGCTGTGTGCTGACAGCTCGGAGCCCGGAGCCTGCTTCGGATTCTGTGTCTCCCTCTCTCTCTGCCCCTCCCCCCTCACACTCTGTCTCTCTCTCGCTCTCAAAAATAAATAAACATTAAAATTTTCTTTTTTTAATAATGGGATGTAAGGACCCGGATTGTGACACTTGCTAAACTGAGAGACCTGGGTGACAGGGTCGCTATGAACCCCTTTAGCTCTGACTCGGTGACTCTGTGCCTCAACATACCAAAACTCAGCTGGCAGAGGCATGTTCACAAGTGTCTTCTGGGGCACCTGGGTGGCTCAGTCGGTTAAGCGTCTGACGCTTGATTTCGGCTCAGGTCACACATGATCTCACGGTTCATGGGTTTGAGCCCCGTGTCGGGCACTCCGCTGACAGCATGGAAACTGCTGCTTAGGATTTTCTCTCTCTCCCTTTCTCTCTGCTCCTCCCCAGCTCATGCACTCTCTCTCTCTCTCTCTCTCAAAATAAATAAGTAAACTTTAAAAAAAAGTGTCTCCTGGGGTGCCTGGGTGGCTTAGTCAGTTAAGCATCTGACTTCGGCTCAGGTCATGATCTCAAGGTTCGTGGGTTCGAGCCCCGCGTGGGCTCTGTGCTGACAGCTCAGAGCCTGGAACCTGCTTCAGATTCTCTCTCTCTCTCTCTCTGTGCCCCCCCCCCCCCTTCCCCCCTGGGGCCCAAAAAAAAAAAATAAATAAAACATAAAAAAAAAAAAAAGCATCTTCTTCCCCAAAAGGGAGAGGTGTGGGCACAAAGGACCCGGAGGCAGGGCCTGCTGCGCACGTCACCCCCAGACCTCACCTCCTCTGAGAGACGGGGGCTGGTGGCGGGGGCTCCCCAAAAGCAAGGCTGCACTGTGTGACCAGGCCACAGGACGGGGGAGAGGCCCCAGAAATGTACTTCTCCTGCTGGGCCCGAGGGAGGCATGAACGTTAAGGGCCACACAAACCGTGGGACTGGATGGCTCCTCCCCCAAGGATGAATAATGCCAACAGCTCCTGAACGCTCTGTCGGTCTCACAGGGGCAACAGTCTTCCACCACCTGTCACCTCACTGCCAGTGTTACCTAAGGGCCCTCTGTGGGCCAGCGGTCTTCTGTTTTACATTCAAACAAATAAAGCTGTGTGTTGAGGAGAAGAAAACAAAATCAACGTTTATTTATTTTTGGGACAGAGAGAGACAGAGCACGAACGGGCGAGGGGCAGAGAGAGAGGGAGACACAGCATCGGAAACAGGCTCCAGGCTCCAAGCCGTCAGCCCAGAGCCCGACGCGGGGCTCGAACTCACGGAGCGCGAGATCGTGACCTGGCTGAGGTCGGACGCTTAGCCGACTGCGCCACCCAGGCGCCCCTGTTGTGCCTCTTTAAACTTTATGTGCATGGTATCTCATTGGAAGTGATCTGCCTTCATATTTCAGTGTTTTTTCTTACCTATTTCTCTGAGGTTTATCCACATTGGTAAGTATACTTCAAGCTTTTATTGTATGACCAGACCATGATTTTTTTTGATATTTTTAAAATATTTACTTATTTTTGAGAGAGAGAGAGAGACACAGAGACAGAGACAGAGACAGAGACAGGGAGAGTAGGGGAGGGGCAGAAAGAGAAGGAGACACAGAATCCAAAGCAGCTCCAGGCTCTGAGCTGTCAGCACAGAGCCCCACGCGGGGCTCGAACTCATGAACCGTGAGATCATGACCTGAGCCGAAGTCGGACGCTTAACCGACTGAGCCACCCAGGCGCCCCTATTTTAACCATTTTTAAGTGCATAGTTCAGTGACATTAAGTACATTCACAATGTTGTACAACCATCACCACCTCCACGTCCAGAACTTTCTCCTTCTTCCTAAGCTGAAACCCTGTCCCCATTAAGCACGGACTCCCCATGCCCTCTCCTCCAGCCCCAAGCACCCACTACCCTTCTTTCTGTCTCTATAAACCTGACCACTTTTGGTAAGTGGAATCATACAGCATTTATCATTTTGTGTCTGGCTGATTTCACTTAGCATAATGCCTTCAAGGGTCACAGCAAATGAATTTTTTATTAAAAAAATTTTTAGGGGTGCCTGGGTGGCTCAGTCGGTTAAGCGTCTGACTTCGGCCCAGGTCATGATCTCACGGTTTGTGGGTTCGAGCCCCGCATCAGGCTCTGTGCTGACAGCGCAGAGCCTGGAGCCTGTCTCAGATTCTGTGTCTCCCTCTCTCTCTGCCCTTCCTCCACTCGCACTCTGTGTTCCTCTGTCTCAAAAATAAACATTAAAAAAATTTTTTTTAAATTGTTTTAATGTTTATTTATTTTTGAGAGAGAGAGAGAGAGAGAGAGAGAGAGAGAGCAGGGGAGGGGCAGAGAGAGAGAGGGAGACACAGAATCCAAAGCAGGTTCCAGGCTCCGAGCTGTCAGCCCAGAGCCCGACGCGGGGCTTGAACCCACAAACCTTGAGATCATGACCTGAGCCAAAGTTGGACGCTTAACCGACTGAGCCACCCAGGCATCCTTCAAATGAATTTTTTAGAGAAAACTCAAGACAAAAATTTCCCTGTGGCCACTTCGAGGGCCCAGGCAGGAGCACTTGGACTGGCTATTTCACAGCCTTCTTATTATCTCCTCTTTCCTACCCTGGCCTCCCAACAGTGAACTTTCTACAGAGCTGCTAGGTGACCTTTAAACCTGGAATCAGGGCTTGGAGCATCTGCATTAAAACCCTTCAACAGCTTCTCACTGCTCGTAGAATACATTCTTTTTCAAGTTTGTCCTTATTTATTTCGAGAGAGCACAAGCAGAGGAGGGGCAGAGAGAGACAGACAGAATCCTGAGCAGGCTCCCTGCTGTCAGCACAGAGCGACGCAGGGCTCAAACTCACTGTGAGATCATGACCTGAGCCGAAATCAAGACTCAGATGCTTAACTGACTGAGCCACCTAGAAGCCCCACTTGGAATACATTCTGACTTTTCACAAAGCTCTGCAGGACTGATCCCTGCCTGCCTCTCTGTCATCCTGTCCCTTCCATTCAGCTCCAGTCCCACTCTCCTTTGGTTTCTGGAACACGGCAAGGGTCTTCCTGTGGCTCAGCCTTCAAGTCTCAACACAAACGTCACCTCCTCAGGGAGGTCCTCCCAGATACATTACCCCCATTTACTTCCGCACAGCTCCAACCGCCATCTGTAAATGCTTCTGTTACTGGTTTAGGTCTCTCTCATTGGACTGTAAGTTGCATGAGGACAAGTCGGTGACGGATTCCAGGCATTCCTAGCACAGCGTGCCTGGCACGTAGTTGGCATTTGGTAAATATTTCTTGAATGCAAGAAAGTGCTTCAGTTTGCTCACCTGTATCACAGGGGTCTTAACCCATGCCTCCTAGTTCTGACCCAGTTCTAGGTCAGAGCACATAGTGAATGAATATAAAGGCCTAGCCCAGGCCCATGGCCCAGCACACATAGGAGCTCTTGGACTCAGTTTTGAGAAAATTCAGATCAGATCAGATCAGAGGTGGGGAGGGAAATTCAGGCGGAGACTCTCTGCCAGCAGGGAGCACCACATCTCTTAGTAGCTCCCTACCCCGACCCACCTTTTCCCTGGACTCCCCAGAGAAGGTGGCCACTGGCTCAGCCCCTCCCACCCTCTGAGAACAACTCACCTGGGACCAGGCTCCCGTGCGCCACTGGGCTGGGCAGGGCACGCGGAGGCAGGGCCGCCGGGCCTCGGGCCGATCCCCAGGGCAGGCCTTGGCCGGCATGGCCTTGTGGGTCCCGTTGGAGAGGGGCAGCAGGCACTGAACCCCCCGGGTCTGCACCCCCAGTTTCCCACAGCTCCGGCTGCAGGCACCCCACTCTTCCATCACCCACCTAGAGACAGACAAAGCACAAGGTGAAGGAGAGGCGGGACTATGGGGACGCTTCCTCCCAGGGTCCCTCCCACCCCCTGAATCGCTGCGGGCAGGGGCTGGCAAGTGGGTCTGAGCTTCAGAATGCTGGGAGCCAAGACAACCGTCCACGGGCTCTGCAGCTGCCGTAAGGGGGGTCACCTATGATCTCCTCTGCTTCCTCATCTGAAAAATGCACGGGTATGATGCACCTTTACATCTGGCACCGTGCATGTCCGCAGGCAAGTTGTGAACATCAGAATTCTTTTCAGCACTTCATAAACATTGGAGTGGGGGCAGGTACTGTCCTAGGTGCTGAGATACAGCACGAGATTCAAGGCTGGTAGAGTTGAACCCCCGCCCCTGGGGCTCTTGGGACAGTTAAAGGACGTGTGTACTTAAAAGCACTTGGCAGAGTGCACGCATGCAGTAGGCATGTAATAAAGACAGGCACTGTTACTGTCGCCGTCAGCACCTGCAGAGTTTTGGTGCCGATCAGCTAAGCCGGTGGTCTCCCACCGTCTTTTGGCCACGGAGCAGCTTCCAAGAGCACCGTAAGCAGATACCACTGGATGAATTAGACAAAGACGAAAATGGCTCTGCTGGGGTGGCGGGAGGGGCGGCCACAACCCACTCCCCTCTCAGGTTCCTGAGACATCTTGTAGCGAATGAGGGCTCTTTCGGCCAACCCCTTCCTTTAAAAGACAAAAAAGGCCCCAAACTTCGTTTGGCATTTTACAGATGAGAAGCTGGGGGCGGGGGGAGGGGGGCGGGCGGTGACGTGCCCAGGACCACAGCCGAGTCAGCGCCGCGTGCTCTGTGGCCACAGACGTTGGCGGAGACAGTGGCCGGCATGCCGTGTGAAGGGGGAGCGTGGAGCACTGAGGGGCAGGGGATCCCGCCTGGGCCAGGCACGGAGAGGCCACGGTGGACTCTGCACTGATCCCCAGCTCCTGTCCTGGCCCTGAGGTCCCCCCAGCCTCAGGGAGCAGAGCTGCCGTGAACCAGCCAGGCCGAGTTAGACGGCTCGGACCCCAGAAGATTCCTGGGGAGGCAGGAAAGTGGACTGGGCGCTCTGCCTGGGGCCGGAGAGGCGCTGGGGCCATCTCTGTGATGGGCTCAAGGCCACACCTCGACTTCCCGAAAAGTCATAGCTCTTCTCCTCCACGAAGCCCCCTCCAAATAAGCCCAAGAACATGATCTTGTGCCCAAATGAGCCTGTCTCCTCCTCAGGTCGGGGAACCCACTCAGGGGCTAGACTATGGGTGGGGGCCGCCGGACAGCATCCTGGCCTATGCCCCGGCGTCTAGAAGCACTGAGATCGACTTCACCTCAACGTCCCCTCGGATCATCGAGGGAAAGCTGTGTCCCCGAAGTGGGCCTCTGTTTCCCCATCTGTAAAAGAATGCTGGAAGGGGCAGAACAAAGGAAGCGTTGTCCTTCTCCTGGGAGCGGAAGTTAATCCGCAAACCCCACAGGGGGACAGGCGGGGGCGGATGCGGCCAGCACTGGCCGCGGACGGAGTCCGGTGTGTGGGCTGCTCTGCTCAGGGAGTCCCGGGTGCAGGGGCCGTGACCCTGGACACTCAGGGCCAGAGGAAGCAGCCCCTCCTCCCCGGCCCAGGGCTACGAGAGAGTCAGTGACGCCCATGGGAAGGGGTCAGGCTCCTGGCCGTCCCCGGACACTCACGCAGGCTGGGCACACGGGTGCTGGTTGCAGCGCCGGCGGATGGGCTTGGGCCTCTTCCTGTGGTCACACAGGTGCCGCTGGACCATGTGGTGGTCTCGCCGGCGCCGGCAGCCGTATTTGGTGAACTGGATCCCTGGGGGGGAGGACAGGCTGACTTGGGCCACATCCCGCCAGGCCCCCGCCGCTCCGCTGGGTCTCAGGGACGGCACGCTCTGGAGAGCCCGTGCCTCCCCTGTGCCTTTGCACCCCTCTTGCCCAAGTCTCCTTCTGAAGAAGCCTTCCTTGGCCAGCGCATCTCATGTGTCCCTGATGTCGTGCCAGCGGTGCAGGGGCTGGGGTGGGGGAGGCGCCTGGCTCTGCACGGCTGCCTGCCCGCATAGCGGGGGAGCCCTTACAGGGTGCAGGCCTTGCCCCGGTGCTGCTCCCCCACTCCCAGCCCCATCCCCAAGGCTCTGGCCAGGCAGGTGCCACACCCGAGAGATCTTTAAGGGGAAACGGAGGCACGAGCTATGGACACATCAGGTGGAGATAGTGTTGGCCCCCAGCCACTCCTACTCTTCCCCTGCAAAGCCCTGGGCTGCCCCACGAGGCAGCCAGATGGCTGGGCAGGCCCGTACCTCCTCCGCAGGCCTTGGTGCAGGGGGCCCAGCTCTTGAGCGCCCACTCGTAGGTGTCCGTCTCCTCCAGGAGCACGTTGTTGCTCCCAATAAGGGGCAGCAAGTCTTCATGGATGATGTACTTGTAGGCCAGGCTGCTGCGGGGGCCACCCTCAGCTGGGGGGAGCACCTGAGGGGAGACAGAGCAGGTGGCACAGGACTGGAGAGCAGAGAAGCAGGGCCAGCATGGGGGGGACAGGGAGGAGGGGGTCAAAGGAAAGGATGTGGGGTCAGCACCGAGCACGGCCTGGGAGACCATTCAGACCAGCAGCCACGCAGCAAACTCAGGCTAAGCAGCAGGAACAGCCTGCGTGCTCACCTGGGATCATTTTTCTCCCAGACATAAGTCCTCACGAGGACAGGGACCGTGTCTGCTGGTCTGTCTTGCTTACCAGGGCATCTGCGCTACCTGACTCTGGTATGGCCAGGTCTATAGGACTCTGATCAGATATAAGATGGTCTGTAAGCCTCTGATCAGATATATGGTTGCAAATACCTTCTCCCATTCTGCTCAGCTTGTCTTCTCACTGTCTTCACGATGTCTTTCCAATGTAACGAAGGTCCTCAATTTCCATGAAGACCAGTTTACCTATTTTTCTTTCGTTGCTCATGCTTCTGGTATCATAAGATGCAAGGTCAGGAGATTCCCCCCTCCATTTTCTCTAAGAGTTCTATGGTTTTAGCTCTCTTACTTGGATATTTGATCTAGTTTGAGCTTGTTGTATACGGAGTGAGGTAGGGGTTCAACTTCATCCTTTTACATGTGGCTATCCAGTTGTCCCAGCACCATTAGGTGAAGAGATTATTCTTTGCCCATTGAATGGGTCTCGGTACCCTCAATCATTGGCATAGGTGTATGGGTGGCCAGTACATATAAGGTGAATAGAAAATACATGCAGAGTGAAATAATACACTGACACCAATAGGCTTCAGACCCTGCCCTCTAGGACCTCCCCGACTAGTGACGGTCGCACCAGGAAAGAAGCCTGTCCAAGCTCTCCCTGGCATGAATCAGCCAGTGTCAGGAGCACCATAGACAAAGCCCCTCCTGGTCTGAGCTCTTGCATTAATAATCCCTGCTCCATAAGCCCCGGTCTATGGCCTAGGAAGAGGGGGTGTGGGAAGAGGTGGACCCCAGCAAGGACAGTGACCGCATCCCCCTCTCCGGAGGCTGGCAGCGTGAGCTGGCACCCCCCAGTCACTTGCGGGCAATGCCATAATGCAAGCGGACATTGGATGACGCCAGGGCAACAGGGGGAACCAACGCAGGTGCCTCCTCTCATTCCCAGGCCCTGTTTCTGACGCTGCGTGACGGAGAACAGACTCCCTCTCATAGCAAGACAACCATTTCTTTCTCCCTCCTCATGTGCGTCCTGCCAGCCTTTGTGCACAGAGGGCATCTAAGCCTTGGCCTTGGCCAGGCTGCTAAAGACACTGCAACACTGCTTCCGACGGGGCTGCGCTGGCTCAACAGTGAAGACTGGGGAGACTGGGCTGGGGCAGCAAGGGGGTGGGCAGGGGCCACCGTACAGGGTGGGGGCTCACCAGGACGGCGATGGCTTCGGGCAGGGGCCCACTGGTCTTGAGGCTTTCCTTGGCGTCCTCCACCACATACTCCCACTCCAGGCCCATTGCAGTAAAGGTCCGGCTCATTGCTTCCTTGCCCTTGGGGTTGAGGATGAAGCTGCCTGTGACCTGGTTCTTCACCGCTGGCCATGGGGAGAGGGTCACACAGATTTCTATTCCCCTCCACAGGAACACTAGCCAGACCTCCTTCTGGGGCTTCGAGACCTTCCTAGTGGATCCCCTGGGGCTCCCTATGACCTGTCACCCCTTTCCACCAGAACCTTCCTCAGTCAGATGAGTCACTGCACCGGCTGCACGCAGCACCCCTGCCTCTAGACCCTGGCACACCCATTCCTCCCACCTTCTTCCCTTCTTCCTGTCTGACCAATCTTCACTCCTATGGAAGGCTCAGCACAATGTTCCCCTCCTCCAGGAAGGCTTCTTTTCTTTAAAAAAAAAAAAAAGTAAGTTTTCCTTTTATGTATGTATTTTTTTATTTAAAAAAATTTTTTTTCAACGTTTATTTATTTTGGGGACAGAGAGAGACAGAGCATGAACGGGGGAGGGGCAGAGAGAGAGGGAGACACAGAATCGGAAACAGGCTCCAGGCTCCGAGCCATCAGCCCAGAGCCTGACGCGGGGCTCGAACTCCCGGACCGCGAGATCGTGACCTGGCTGAAGTCGGACGCTTAACCGACTGCGCCACCCAGGCGCCCCAATTATTTTTAAAAGAGAAAGGGAGAACGTGGGGTAGGGGCAGAGAGAAAGGGAGACAGAGAATCCCAAGCAGGCTCCATGCTGTCAGCACAGAGCCCGATGCGGGGCTCGAACCCACGAGAGATCACGACCTGAGCCGAAACCAAGAGTCAGACGCTGAATCAACTAAGTCACCCAGGCGCCCCCAGGAAGCCTTCTTTGATTGCCCAGTCCTCGGGGACTTGCCCTCCCTTCTACAGCAGAGCACGAGGCTAAAAACACAGGCCCTGGCACCAGATTGATCTGGGGAAGTTACTTAGCCGCCCTGTGCTGCCTCAGTTTCGCCATCTGTAAAATGGGAATGCTAATCATCCGTAGCTCATAGGGCTGCGGCCGCATGAGGATAATCGCAGTACCCCCCTCCCACCTATCCACTATGGGGTCCTTGGGACAATTAAAGGAGTCCATAGATGTAAAGAACTAGGCAGAGTGCGTGGCATGCAGCTGGCATTCAATAAATGGGAGGCACTATGACTGCCATCAGAACAGGGCCCGAGTGTTAGCACTGGTGCCTGTCTCCCCCACAGCCTGTCAGTGTATCTCCTCCGTCTTGGTGTCCTTGGGGCCTGGCACAGAGCGAGTCTTAGAAACACCTGTAAATGTCCACCCCTTAAAGTCCCGCTGAGTGAGTAACCTGTAACTTGTTATCGAAAGGTGTCGGGTGGCAGCTGGGTGGGAGGTGTGCAGGTGCAGACGGCCTGGCAGAGGCCCCTGCGTCACAGCCTTGGCCGCCCTGGAGCAGGCTGGTGAAGGGCTGCAGCCTCGGACCCGAGCCCCTCAGCCCAGGCGGGGGAGCAAAGGCTCTGGAGCCCTGGGGCGTCCCCACCTGGTGCCGACAAAAACCATCCAGGGTAATGACGAGACCATGAGAGCCAACGATTCAGAGCACTCTGGCGCCCGCCTTGGCGGAATCCTCACACACATCCCAAGCTTGGTACTGTTATTGCCCCAGATAGGGACCTAGAGACCCGCGAGGGGCAAAGGTGTCTCCTGGACACACAGGGCACTGGTGGCCCAGCCGTCTGGAGGACCGGCCTCCCTGCTGAGCGAGAGGAGAGATGCCCCTCATCTCTCGATGCCTGATCCCTCTCTGCCCCCAGAATCACCAGACCTGGAGCCAGAGCCGGGCCCGGCCTCAAGTCTCCCCACGGCTCTGTCTGCTACCCTCTCAGCAGCCGCCGTCCCCAGCCCTGGCTGTACACCCTCCGGTGGGCTGCGTGAACCTCTGAGTCCCGGCCCTACCGCTGACCCCACTCTGGACCCTGAGCATACCCCAGCCTCGTTTCACTGTGCTTCCCTTCATCGTGCTTCACAGAGTCTGCATTGTTTACAAACGGAGGATCTGCAGCAGCCCTGCGCCGAGCGAGTCTATTGGTGCCTTTTTTCTGACAGCATTTGCTCACTTTGGGTCTCTGGGTCACAGTTTGGAAATTCTCGCAGTATTTCCAACTTTTTCACGATTATTAAATTTGTCACGGTGCCCTGTGACCAGTGATCTTTGATGTCACTATTGCAAATGTTCGGGGACACCATGAACCCCACTTATTTAAGACAGCACACTTGGGGCGCCTGGGTGGCTCAGTCGGTTAAGCGTCCGACTTCAGCTCAGGTCGTGATCTCACAGTCTGTGAGTTCGAGGCCCGCGTCGGGCTCTGTGCTGACAGCTCGGAGCCTGGAGACTGCTTCCGATTCTGTATCTCCCTCTCTCTCTGCCCCTTCCCCGCTCATGCTCTGTCTCTGTCTGTCTCAAAAATAAATAAAAACATTTTTAAAAAAATTAAAAAAAAAAAAGACAGTAAACGTAACGGATACATGTGTGTGTTCGGATTGCTCCCCAATCGACGATCTCTGTCCCTCTCCTCGGGCCTCTCTGTTCCCGCAGACACAACACTATTGAAATCAAGTCAGTTAATGACCCTGCAATGGCCTTTAAGCGTCCAAGGGAAAGGAAGAGTCACATGTTTCTCACTTTAAATCTAAAGCTAGAAATGATTAAGCTTAGTGCAGAAGGCATGTCAAAAGCCAAGATGGGCGAAAAGCCAGGCCTCTTGTGCCGAACGGTCAGCCAAGTTGGGAAGGCAAAGGAAAAGTTCTTGAAGGAAATTGAAAGTGCTACTCCAGGGGGGCCTGGGGCGGGGTGGGGGGGGGCGGCGGCGCTCAGTCGGTTAAACAGCCAACTTCGGCTCAGGTCATGATCTTGCAGTTCGAGCCCCGTGTCAGGCTCTGTGCTGACAGCTCAGAGCCTGGAGCCTGCTTCGGATTGTGTGTCTCCCTCTCTCTCTGCCCCTCCCCCATTCGCGCTCTGTCTCTCTTTCTCTAAAAAATAGATAAACATTGAAAAAAAATTAAAAAAAAAAAAACAAAAAAAACAAGATCAAACCAGCCACAACATTCCCTTAAGCCAAAGCCTAACGCGGAGCAAGGCCCTAACTCTCTTCAGTTCTATGGAGGCTGAGAGAGGAAGAGGAAGAGAGCGAGGAAGCTGCAGACAAAAGTTCGAAGATAGCAGAGGTTGGAGAAAAGAAGCCATAAAAGCACAAGGTGAAGGAAGCAGCAGGTGCTGATGTCAAAACTGCAGCAAGTCTTCCAGGAGATCCAGCTAAGATAATTCACGAAGGTCACTACAAACAACAGATTTTCAATGTAGATGAGACAGCCTTCTGTTGGAAGGAGATGCCATCTAGAACTTTCAGGGCTAGGGAGGAGTGTCCGTGGACTGTCCCGAGGCCTACGTAAGGTAATGGATGACAAGTGCCAGCTCAAGGCCTGGCACATGGTAGATATTTACAGCATGGTTCTCTTCCCTTGACTTCCTTTCAAAGAATCAAAGCCCCCAAATTCCAGGAGAGTCTAACGAGCTTGGACGGGGCCTTGGCTTTCACTGCCAAGACGGCCACCTGTCCTGGATGTCTCCAGAGAGCACGCACATACCCTGTCAGGCACGTGCACAGACACACGCTCACTCTCAATACGTGCAGCTTGCACATTTCCACGGCGGGCTTGCCGCATACCTCACAACTGTGCAATCGCACAGTGCGTGCCAATGTCAGGTTTCCGTCCCACTTCCCTCCCCGCCCAGCTCCTGGGAGTTCTAACCCTCCAGGGAACTCACGGGCGAGCGTGCCCACACTGAACCTGCCCTGGGTTCTAGAAGCCTCTGCCCCGACCCCCACGGAAGCCCGGCTGCAGCCTCCACGGAGCACTCCTCGCTGCCAGCAGACAGAGGAGCTAGACGTCCACAGACAGGGGTGGGGGCTGGGAGGAGTGGGAGGGCTAGCTGGGGAGGCCCCAGGGGCTGCTAGTATTATGGAATCGTCTGAATCATCCGTAGGGGTGTAGCAGGAGGAGCGTCTGCAAGCTCCTCCCTCTTCTGGAGTCAGCGGCCCTTCTCTCCTTGCCCCCTCCCCTCCCCTCCCCTGGCCCCTGTTCTGGCACAATCCCACGGAGCCAGACAGGCAAGTGGGCAGGGAGCTGGCCAAGCCAAGCCCTCCTGACTCATACCCATGCAGAGTGGGGCTGTCGGCAAGGGCCCGGGGCTGGGAGACAGGAGAGCCTGGCGCAGACTGGCTCACCGCGTGGGGGAATCAGGGTACACAGAGGGCCCACAATCCACTGTGGACCTCAGTTTCCCCCTGTGCTTCTTGTCTATTTGCACTACACCCTCTCAGGCGCCTTCCGGAGCAGGTTATAGGGCGTATTCTGCAGGGGGTGCAAGTTTCCCAGGAGGCTTTCACACGTTTTCTGTCATGGTGATGGTAATCTAAAAACACGACTATCGGCATTTTTGGAATACATGAGCCTGCCCAGAGATGTTACGTTTTGCATTCACGTCCATGAAGAGGTGGTGACATGCGGTGCGGCCTGGCGAGCACAGTCGACTCGAGGGGCCTCTGGGACATGCTAAGTAAGGCCCGGCGACGCCATGGCACCCATGCCCTCTGTGAGGGGTCTGAACAGACAAGTGCGGGAGGATGCAGCCACTCCCCAGTGTCAGGGAAGCATCCTTCTGTCTGCCTGCCCCTGGGACCCTGCTCCAAACCATGCTTACGTGTTTTCAATTGAGATGTAATTCAGGTACACGCACTCAGCCTTTGCAAGTGTGCAATTCACTGACTACCGGACCACTGCCCGATTCCAAGACCCTTCATCACGCCCATTTGCAGATGCTCCCACCGGCCCCTGACCACCACTAAGCTACTCTCTTATGCCCACGGATTTGCCCGCCCTGGACATGTTCATTTCTTAACCACCGACTTGGTTTCAGCACAAACAGAACAAAGCAAACAAGTAAGCACAAAAATCTCTCCCCTTACGTTAATGTTCTCAATTTGAATTCTGTCGATTTCTTTGGGGGCCAGAATTTTTCATCTCTCTTGGCTTTAGAGTTGTATAACTCTCATAAGTAGTGCCTAAGTGACTGTGTTTATGTGTCATCAGATAAGAAGGATTTAAGGGTCCGTGTGTCAGACTGGCTGCAAATTCCTCCTCTTCCTATGCGCAGGCCTCTTTGCACTGGGACTCTACCGTACTTCCCACCAAGAGATCGTCTGTTTCTACAGCTTGAGTCTGGGCTTGGCCATGACACCTGCTTGGGCCGACGGGATGCTACAAAGCATGACACAAGTAGAGACCTGGAAAGTGTTTGCACGCTGGGGCTTGCCTGCTCTTGCCCCCACTGAGGACCATGTGACAGACCACATGAATAATCCCAGGTTAGCCTGCCAGGGACACGGCCCTGTCACCCCCGTCACCCCAGCTGACAGCCAGTACCAACAACACCTACAGCCCCACCAGATGCTGCATTCGCACGAGTTGAGTCCAGGCACAGGAGCAGAAGTAGCTCCAGCTGGGCCCAGCCCAAACTCATGGCCCACAGAACCATGAGCTAACACAAACACTTGTTAGAAACCATAAAGTTTGGGGATGGGATGTTAGACAAGCAAAAGTTGACTGACACATTCTATGAAAACGGTTTTCTTTTGCGTACAACAGATGGACCGTGGCTGCCCCTGGGGAAGAAACTGATCCTGGAGGGCAGACGTGGGAGGGGGAATCTTCACTGGATCCCCATTCACACCTTCTGACATTCGAAGCACGGAACGGGTTGTCTACTTAGCCTAAGTTTAAAAAAAATGTTTCTAAGGGTTCCCTGCACTAGACTACTCTCCTCTGCCCTCCCAGCTCCCCGTACTCACCAATGTGGTGGGGAACCTTCTCCAGCTCCTCAATCTGGATGTGCCTGGCACCCGCCGGGATCTGGACCAGTTTGAGAGCTCCTGCCACAGAGCAGGATCCGGAAAAACCGTGAGCATCTTGAGCTGGTGGCCCCACTGCCCAGCACACCCCGTCACCCCCTCCCCCTGCACGTGCCCAAGAACCTGTTTCCTCATCTGTACAATAGGAAGGGGGGACCCTTGCCCACAAGGTGCCGAGAGGTTCAAATGAGATGCTATGGCTTAAAATGCCCTAAAAACTCTAAGGGCTGTGGTGGGGGGGGGGGGGAGAGTATGCAGACACTTTGTTGCTACAATTTTCCACTTTCTTGAGCCTACTTTTCTCTCCTGATGTTCCCCCCCCACCCCTTTCTTCTCATACCTTGAGCCACCATCACGGCTGCCCTGGGCCCCATGGCCCTCCCAATCCCAGGCCTGGAAACAAACCCCTCTCGAAGCCACCAACTTTCTCCCCACAAGGAGAGATGAGGCAAAACTATGACAGTCCCAAAGGGGAAATGGATCTAATTCTTCCTAGAGTGTAAAGAACTAACATCTGGCCCTTTTCAACAGCCAAGTGTGGTCAGATGGAAGGTAGGGAGGGAAGTCAAGGAACTCAAGGTACCAGGAGTTGAAAGGAGGCACCACAAGTTGACCAAAAAATGGAGAGAGAGGGGAGAGAGGGAAAAAAAATTCCAGTCCAGTCTGGGCCACATCCTCAGACGTGTCTGAGCTCTCACTCCCACAATAGCCCCAGGGCCAAAGAGATGGCTGAGTTCTTATCACAGCGCACTGGCCAGCAGAAAAATGCTTCTGAAGTCCTGGGCCCGAATGCAGGCAGCGCTCACTGGAAGAGGCTGCGGCCAGCTGCAGCTTCTGACTCAGTGGCCTGGGGCAGCCCGGGAAGGTCTGGAGGCAGGCTCTGGGTGCCTTCTCCCCTCCCCCGCCCTGAACCGTGGCCCAGCAGAGGAGGGATGGCTTGCCCAAGGGACTCGGGCTCAAGGGCCCCTGCTGGGCCAGAACCCCAGCCACTCCTGGTCATCTCCCAGCCCCAGCCTCTCACCTGCCTTCTTGGAGGCCTTGCCCAGTGTCCCCTTCACGGTCCTGCAGTGAGAGTTGTCGCCACCACAGACACCGCACTTGTCATCTGCCTTCATGGACCCCACCTCCTTGTCACAGCCAACGGGCTGACGCCAGGGGGGGGGGGGTCAGAGGATAAGGCTCCCGTGCTCCCCACCCCCACCCCCCACCCCAGGCCGGCAGCCCCTGGTTCCCTCCCCAGTCCCCAGGCCCCACGAGTTGACCCTGAACCCAGGGGCATTCCTGGACACGTCACTGCCATAAACTCGCCGTGTGACACGGGCAGGTCTTAAACCTGGCCATTCTTCTTCCCTCGAATGGGCCGGGCAATAACCCCCTTCTAGGATCCCAGGGTTATGTTGAGGACCAAGGGTGTCATGGGTGGCGAAGGCGAAGAGATGCCTGTCTCCCTAGGGCCCAGGAGAAGCGGGCAGTATAGCCCTCCGGTCTCCCCAGGCAGGCAGCAGGTGGGTGGCCCGGAGGAGGGAACCCACCACACATTCGCCGCGGGCACACACGCTGTATGGGTCCCGGTAGCTGCAGCGGGTCCCGTCGTGGACCACCTGGTTCATGAAGACCACATCCCCTGTGTCCTCCGACTGGCAGATCAGCTCACACTTCTGGGCATCTGTGGAGAAAGGGACCGTGCTGCATTCCTAGCTGTGCTCGGAGAAAGCGGGCTGGCCCAGAAGGACATCAGCACATGTCCCAAGCGGGAAGCTCCTGGGCCAGCTCTGGGCAGTGGCGGGGGAGCACTGAGTATGGAGCTGGGACTTACAATCCCTGCCATGTCACCTATGAGCCTAGTGACCCTGGGCAAATCAGCTGACCTCTCGGAGTCTCCGTTCCTTATTTATTATCCCTGATCAATAAAATGCCACATCAGGATGCTAAATAAAATCAAGTGATAAAATAATAGTAATGGCCATAATAATAAGCCAATATATAGTAAATGCTTACCATGTACCAAATGCTTCCAAAACCTTTACATACTTTTTTTTTTTTTTTTTTTTTTAAGTAGGCTCCACGTCCAATGTGGGGCTTGAACTCACGATCCCGAGATCAACAGTCACGTGCTCTACTGACTGAGTCAGCCGGGTGCCCCTACACACTCTTGATGCACAACCTCAAATTTTTTGTGGGACTTAACTCATTTAAACTTTTCAGTAAGTTCTAGGAAGCAAGTTCTAGCATTCTAGAGGAGGAGACCAAGGACCAGAGAGGTTAAGAAAGTTGCCCAAGGCCACACAGCCACATACTGAGAACCAACTCCAGGATTCTAAACAAGGCAGTCTGGCTTGAGTCCCACACTGACCTCTACATACACTTCAGCAGTCTCATGTATAACAGTGTATCTCAACATGGTTGCAAACATTAGGACACCCTGTGAGAGTAAAGCAGGGCAGTAGGCTGGGTTTGGGTTTATAAAACAAAGTTGCAGTGAGAGCGGAAAGGAGGCCCTTCCTAGTTCTAACAATTAATTGTTCTCTTTCCCATCTGGGCTATTGATGTCCTTAAAAAGAAGGTTCCAAAAAACGTAACATATAAACACTTGCTGTGTTTCTTAGAAAAAGGGAAGTTGGGGCTTAGCTAACTTTCTGGAATTTGTCTAAAAGTCCTGGGAAAGCCCAAAGCCCAGCTGCCCCATGGGCCTTGAAGCCCCTTCTTCTAGAGGCTTGTTTGGATCTGAATGGATCTGCAAGGCTTTCAAAGCGAGCCACCCCCTTAGCCAAACTTCTCAGCAACCAAATGGCTCCCGCCCCTTGTCCCCGGGCTCCTAGGATACATCTTGCCCCAGTACTCAGGGCTCAAGTTCAGAGCCACAGCATCCAATACCACTTTGAACTTCACACACAGGTAGGACCCTGACCAGTACGCCCCAGGCAGGCAGGCAGCCATGGAAGCCAGCAGACAGTGGCGAGCTCCCCAGAATGGGAGGAATTCAAAGCAGAGGGAAAATGCTCTCTGCGATCATATTCTGGAGAGGTCTGTGCACCGGTGGGCAATGGAGAGGCCTCTAATGTCCCTTCTAATCTGAAGACTGTCATTCTAAATGTCAGCTGAATTGCCCTGCAATTAATACTTTGGAACAGGGGCTAAAAGAGGCAGCCCTGGGCTCAGGAGAGGAAAGGCTGCTCTAGTCGGTGCCATTGGAGGCTGAGGGCTGTGTGGTGGGGGGTGAGCATCTGTCCATCAAAAGACCATGGACAGGCTGGCAGGGGAGGTGAACACAGAGGACAGTTAAGGGTCCTTCCAGCATAAAGGCTCTAAGAGGCCGTGAATCCCACCCCTTCACTGGTATCTTGCTGCCGCTATAAGAGCCGTCAGTGGAAAGGCTCCAAAGCAGACAGGCACTGGCCTGCGTCTGTCCCAGAGCAGTCTGGAGGGATTCCGTATGAGGATCCCTGGCCACAGGCTCCCATCTGTGTGCCTCTTCAATCATTTTCATTAGCTGCTGAAACAGTAGCACAGTCAGTAAAACCTAAAACTATGGTATCTAATGGGATGGGGGCTCTCAGCAAAGCCAGGGCACCTGTACCTGTATAGAGCCTTCCCGTACAGGTAAGGGACCCGTGTGAGAGGCACCAACCCCAACAGCCAACACTGCTGTCAGCCACAACAGCACCTCTGAGTGAAATGTCCCTGGTTCAAAGGGCACCTGGGGGGGTGGGGGTGGGTTCAGTCAGTTGAGCGCCCGACTTCGGCTCAGGTCATGATCTCACGGTTTGTGGGTTTGAGCCCCACGTCGGGCTCCACACTGACAGCATGCAGCCCACTTGGGATTCTCTCTTTCCCTCTCTCTGCCCCTCCTCACCCCCTTACTTTTTCTCTCTCTCAAAAATAAATAAACTTAAAAAAAAAAAAAAGAAAAGAAAAGACATGCCCCGGTTCCAGATCGTTTCCCTGCCAGGGAACAGTCCTCATAAGCCTACACATCAGGGATGGCTTTAAGGAGGACGGTGGCCCAAAGACAAGGGCCTGCACAAAGGCGGCCAGGCTGCCGACTGTCCTCCACCATCCCTCCACCTCCACTGGTGGCCCCAGGCACGGGAGGCCCACCTAGCAGATGCCCAAGGACATGGCGGATGGGGGGGGTGCCCACTCACCATCTTCTGGCTCGTAGGGGATCCAGCTGTGCTTGGCGTCCCGGTGGATGTAATAAGAGTTGCGCCTCGCACACTGCTGGGCCCGGAAGTCCTCGTGGGGCCCCGGGCACTCCTCGCTGTTGCACACCTGGTACTGGAACATGGGCCCTGAGCACAGGCGGCCTCCGTAGGCTGGGCTGGGGCAGGCAGAGAGACCCGGTGACCTTGCCGGGGGAAGGCTGGGGAGGGCCAGGCTTCCCGCGTGGCCCCCAGGGGCAGCTCGGCCTTCTAGGGGAACATAAAGCAGCTGCTCGAACGTAAACTAGAGGGCTGCTCGTGGTGGGGGCTGCCATGCTCAGAGCCCTTCCAGATTCTTCTCGCTCCACCCCTGAGGCATATGCCACCTGTTCCCCTGTGTGTTGGCACGAGGGGCGGTGGGGGAGCTGAGAAGCACGGAGCCAGGGATGAGCAACCCTCTCCAATCGGGCTGGAAGAGAAACCAGTCTCATTTATCTCTGTGTACCCTTCGAACCATGACTCACGGCCTGACATACCACGGGGGCACTCCCTCCCAAGGTGCCCCCGCGAGTTCCCATCTGCACCTGCTTCGCGTCCTAATAAACTAAGGAGTGGTAAAAACAGACTTGGGTCCCGAATGAGAAGGCCTGGCTAGGTCTAACCCCACGTCCCGCCTGTGCAAATCTTGGGCAAGTCACTTCGTCCCGCTGAGCCTTAATTTCCTCTTTAAAGGTGGGACCCGGATACCTCTTCGGCCACCTACCTCCTGGTATGTCGGTGAGGAATAAATAAGAAATGGCCTATGACGTACTCTGTACTCTCTGCCATCATGTTAAAAGGACTGGGTAGCGTTACGGATGCCAAGCGTCCAGGCATAGGTGACCGCGGCTCCGCTCCCGGACGCTGGGGCGTCACAGGGGTTCGTGCACCCAAGCGCTCAGCCTTCTACCTGGCACGGAGCAAGTGCTCGATACACGGTAATAATTGTAACAGCAGCTGTCATCCGTTAGTGCTTAATCTGGGCTGGGCACAGCGCTGAATTCTTTCACTTAAGCCTCGTAAAATAAAAATAGTTCTTATCACAGCAGAGTTTGAAAGAGGGCAGCTCTGATGGAGGGGGTAACCATCCACCTGGAAGGTGTTTTACTCAGAGTGGGCGCCACAGGGCCCTGCTCCAACCCTGGCTCTCCCCCCACCGACGGGTGGAAGTTATGGGGCGGGCCGTTCGGCTCCTGTTTGCAAAAGGTCAGCACAACCGTCTGACACAGGAATAGGCTCCTCTGGGCGGTAGTGAGCTTCCCATCCCTGGAGGTAAACGGCCGAGTGTGAAGGACCCCTCCTGAGGATGCGAGGGAGGGTGGCCAACACTGAGCCACAGCATCCAGGGGGCCTGCTGTTCAGCGGAGTCTCGGCGTCCCTGGTCCCCAGAGCCCGCTGACCCACACGGCCGCGTGTGACCCACACCGCCAGCCCTCATCTCACCCGAGGCTGTTCTGAGCAGCCTGGGAGAGGCAGGCCATGGCCAGCTGGCCCTCGGAAGTTCCAAAACCATGGGAGGGATCCCCATAGAGGGGCAAAAGGGGAGAAACAGACCGGTCCCCCAGAATGTTGGATTTACTGGGACAGTGAAAGGCAGGAATTGATGTCAAGTTTTGCTTCCTGGGGTAGAAAACAAACATGGCTACTGAGCATTTAGATCAGTGTTTTCGCAAAGCTTAGCCAGAGGATCCGAGTCACGGGCAGGCTCATGAAACTGGGGGAATCTTTGGGCCCACCCAGAGTCTTCTGCACGTGAGAGTCTGAGAATCACTGGTTCAGACCTAATCTCAGCCTGATGGGAGATGTCGGGCCCGGGTGGAAGTGATGTGGCCCCCCCCCAAACAATTTTGGGTCCCCACCATCAGGATACAGGCACCTGCAGGGTCCTTCTCTCTAGTGTCCTGCCCCTCGGTGCCTTCCTCACCCAGCCCCTCCTCAGGCCTAGGGAGGGAGGGCGTCCCCTGCCCTGCCCACCTCAGCCAAGAGCACTCACGGGGGATTGTCACAGCTCCGGCTCCGGGATCGAACGCCACCCCCGCATGACCGTGAACATGACCCGAACTTGGTCCAGGAGCTCCAGCCTCCATCCTGGCCGTAAGTCTGCTCCGGCGACTTCCAGATGCAGTGACCTTTGAAGCACCACTGGGATGGAGCAGAGGGAATGAGGTTACCCTGGGCACCCCGCCCCCCCCGCTGCCTAGCCTGCTAGGAAGGGTGCCCGACTGCGCACATGGCACAGCTGGTGGGTGCCACAGGTGAGCCCAGAGAAAGGGACATTAAGAGTACGAGCCCCAAGGGTGACAGAATCCCACCCACACCGCAAGCCAAGTGACCTCCGGCAAAGGGCTCCACTTCCTGAGCCTATTCCTCTGGTGTCCACTGTGGATAACAGCACCTGCCCCCAGGGCTGCCGTGAACCTCCAAGGAGGTAATGCCGGACACACACAGCCCTCCAAAAATGGCAGAGAGTATTGCTAATGACAGTAATAATTATGCAATTATTTGGTTTATCACCCCCGGAGAAAAAAAAGAGCTAATAGGGGAGAGAAGACACAGTCTCACCATGTTAATCTAGAGTAGATCTTGGCTCTGTGTCTCAAAATCACCACCCAGAGGCCACAGGCCGGTGTATTAGTGGGAGGCAAGCCAGCCCCACGGGGAGGTCCATCCATGCACAAATGGAGGCGGTATACGAATGGAGTCTGAGAGGCCTGGGCTGGAACCCCAGCTCAGCCATTACTAGCTATGTGGGGCTTTGGCATAACTTCACCTTGCTGAGCCTCAGTCTACTCATCTGTTAAATGGGACTGTTCTAAGAACTAAAGGCAGTAATACCCACAAAGGCCTTAGCTCAGGGCCAGGCACAAAGGTGGGCTCGACCAAAGTAACCCCCTCCCCTTCTCCTGCAGGGCAACATGTACGAAGTACAGCAAAGCTCCTGGGGTCTTTTTAAAGAGATAACAGAGTGGCTCTCAGCCTTAGAGTCACCTGGGGAGCTTTTAAGACTCCAGATGCCTTGGGGTGCTTGGGTGGCTCAGGTGGTTAAGCGTCCAACTTCAGCTCAGGTCATGATCTCACGGTTCATGAGTTCGAACCCTGCACTGGGCTCTGTGCTGACAGATCAGAGTCTGGAACCTGCTTCAGATTCTGTGTCTCCCTCTCTCTGCCCCTCCCCTGCTCATGTGCATGCACTCTGTCTCTCAAAGGATAAATAAACATTAAAAAAAAAAACACCTCCAGATGCTTTGACTTCACCCCAGACCAACGGAGTCAGAATCTCTAGGAGTGGGGAGTTTTTACAGCAGCAATAGTATACCTTACATACTACAAAAAGTCTCTCCGGTCAAGTGTGCAAGTCAACAATGCTTCACAATCGACAGCGTTGTGCAACCGCCACCACGTCCAATTTGAGAACATTTCCATCACCCCAAAGAGATCTCCGTGCCCACCTGCAGTCGTTCCCTGTTCTAGAGGTGGGGACTTTTAAAGCTCCCCAGATGGTTCCAATCTGCAGCCAGAACTGAGAGCCACGGATTGACTGTCACATGCAATTGTGACGGAAGGACCTGGAACTGTGGAAATACCAGGAGCCAGTGTACCGAGTCTCCGGGGTAAGAACCCGCCAGGTGTGGAGCCCACTGGGCCATGCATAGCCGTGGGAAGCCCCATCCATCTGTGAGGAGGCAAGCCCTCCACATGTGATGTGAGCGGGCAGAGCCTCGTGAGGGCAGAGGGCAGAGGGCAGGCTAGGGGGGCGGGTCCTGTGGCTGAGTAATAACCCTGGAGCCTCTCTTAGCACTTCCCAGCTCTCTGCTTTGCTCCAGCGTGACTCAGTGATTCAGAACAACCCAAGGAGTGGAAAGGCCACTTGGTCAGGGGTCAGCAGGACCCGAAGTTCAATGAATGGCCCAAGGTCACCACAGAAATCAGAGAAGGGCCAGCAATATAGCAGAAGTGGATTTTAGAACCCCTCAGGCTCTTAGACCCGGCCATAAGTTCCCCATACAAATGATGCCCTGGCACCCACACCTGTTCAAGAGGGCAAACACATGTGAAAGGGCAGGTCTGGAGCAGGGGAGGCAACACGCATGTGGGAGAACCAGCATGGTGGGCCGGGGACGGGGGCGGGCAGGACACCTGGAGTCTTCCCTTCATCCCTTCCTTTGCCTGCCTGGGCCTCACTCTTCTCATCTGTAAAATGGGGGAAAGGCTTCCTGCCACATGGGCGATGAGATGATGCCAAACTCTGTGAAGCAAGCGACTGTGGTGTGAGAGAGAGGGTGTACCTATGAGTTCCTGGGGGGCTCCACGCACACACACACACACGCAGCCACACGTCTGGGGGGCAGGGGCTCCCCTGGGACCTGCACACTCCTGCTGCAGCCCCGGGAACGCAGGTACCTGGCCAGGGGCACACTCTGTCCCGTCCAGTGGGGGCCCTTTCTTGGTCTTGCAGAAGTACGGGTTGTCAGGATGGCTGCACCACAGCTGTTTGCAGGGCTCGAAGGTCTGGAACTGCGCGGTAAGGGGACAGGGGTCACCGGCTACACTGGCCCTCAGGCTCTGACAAGTTGTCCAGGGGGCAAAGGGCAGTGATGGAGAGGAGTGGTGCGGTGGACGCTGGGGCCACAGCGCTGTGAAGGAGGCAGGAGGGCCCACACCCTCAAACTGGACCCCACTCCAAGTGCCATGGCCTCCGGTGACCCCTCTTCCCTCCAGCGGGGCACCGAGAAGGGGCAGGCCACAGCCCACATCCCTTGTCGTCCCCCCAGGCCTCCCTCCTTGCCTTTGCAGAAGCCACTGTGACACTGGGCAGGGACTAGGGTTTCGAGGGTCTGAGGCTCGAGGGAGGCTTGGGCCTGCCGACGTCCCCTGAGCCCAGTGCCTATCGGGGCTTCAAGGGGCTGCCAGTCCAGCCGGGACCCCAAGGCACCCAGACAAGGACAGGACTCCCAGCATCCTCTAGTCTCGCCAGGCTGTGCCAGATGTTGGTAATCTCCTGCTTCCCATTGTCCAGGAGAGCCCAGTTTTTTTTCTCTCCTATCATCCCCCTGCCAGCCGGACCAGTGTCCTCCAGATACAGCCCTGAGCATTGAAACCCCTCTCCACCCCCAGCTCAGAGAGCATGTGTCCCAGTGTGGCCTGGACAGACACGGAGCCTCCTGGGCCTGCAGAGCTGAGGAGGGGGCTGCATTCGGATGGGAGGTTTGAGGCGCTGGAGTCACCAAGGCCTGACCCCTCAGAAAGACCCCTGCCCTGGGATGTCCCCTTCTCTGAGCCTCTGCCTGGACGCTGGTTAGCAGCTGCTCCGTTCTTTCCTGGGTGGCTCTAGCTGATCCCCAGGGCCAGGCTCTCCCTCGCCCTGTCCTGCAGGGTAAGGAAGGGCTATGCCCCCTTATATGTGTCTCCTGGGCATGGGGTGTGGTGGGGGGGGCATGCAATTCACCGCCTGGAGAAGAGTTATGTGGCGGGCCACACAGGAGAATTTCACAAGGGTGACGAATCAGCCCAAATCATCCTACCAAATCCCTGAAGAGCAGACAGAGGCAACTATTCCTCCATCAGGCGAGAGCCCAGTGGCTGACGTGACACAGGAACTGCCTGGCAGATAAGCTCCCTGATAACCCAGCCCAGCCAGGATCCCACCAGTCACCTGCCGCTCTGTTCTACTATGTTCCATCTTTCCCAGGAGTAAAGCATCCCCCAGCCACTGCACACAGCTGCCCCCAAAGGTGGGACTGGGTGGGGAAGTTATGTAGCAGAAGGTGGCGGGGCCAGGGGCCGGTCGCCCTGGATCCCCCCCCCCCCCCCCCCGCCAGGTAGCCGGCCCAGAGCCTGTGGGCCCATCACCAGGCTACCTGGCCAGGAGGGAGGAAGATGTTCTGTGCAGGACCAGCCTGGGTCACAGACGGACACGGCCCTGATTCTCCAGCAGTCAGAGGCTGGTGGGAACTCACCGCAGAGCAGGTATGGTATCCAGAGCCGAAGTCAAAGCGGCACTGCTCGTCCATCGAGTAGTCAATGCCCGGCAGCTCCGGGGGCTGGGGCCAGGCGGGCGCAAAGGGGTCATCGAGGAGGCAGTCGTAGGAGCTGCCGGTGGAGACAAGGAGGTGAGCCAGGCTGAGGCCGGCGCTCCCCAGCTCTCCTTTCCTGGAGGTGGGGGTTTAAGGAGCAAAGAAGGCCTGCAGGAATCCATCATTGCTGCCCTCTGCTAGGAGCGGTGTCTTCCAGGGAGGAAGGCTTGGTCTCTGGACCATCTGAGGGCCCATTGCACCGAGGGAAGAAAAGTCAGGCCGCTACACGGGACGTACTCGGGGCCCTGGCCAGCTGCCGCCTGAGGTGGGTGACAGTGTCTTTGCCCACACCTGCCCCCCCCCACCAAATCCTCTCTGTACCCATTCTTGGCCTTGAGCTCCTGAGTCTAAAGCTTGTCCTGGGCCCCTGATGACCTGGGAACTGAGCGTGTGTCGGGGGCAGGGAGGCACAGGGAGGGAGATGGCTGGGGTGGGGGTGGGGGGGGGGCGGATGAAGGGCAGGCTGCATGCTCCCCAGTCCCCAGCCCGGAGGTGGAGGTGACCTACGGGAGGTAGCGGCTCAGCTCCACTTTGCTGCAGCGGGACCAGTGGAAGCGGTGGAAGGCAGCCTGCACCAGGGGTGCCATGACGCTGCCCAGGCTGGTCTCGTCTGCACAGCCATTCCCCTGACCGTCATGCTCCATGCCGAGCCTAGAGGGTGTCGGGGGGGGGGGGGGGGGGGGAAAGACGGGAATCCTGAGTCATGCCAGGGAGCCTGTCCCCGGGAAAACAGGCAGGTGCAACAGCAGTGGGAGACCATGCCCTGACCAAGCTTCAAACTGGACGGAAGCTGAGGGTCCCCCCTGCTCCCCAGTGGGGCTGGACTCATTCTGCCCTCCTGCCCCCTCCTCAAACCCCACCCTGCCCTCACGGCTTCCATGGCCAGTTCAAGGCCCACTCCGACCCCAGACACCCTCCCTGGCCACCCTGACTGAGGGCTGACCTCCCACGGTGGCGGCCACCTGCCCCACCATTAACACCTCACATGCCACGATGTGCTGTCTCTTCGCCAGACCCAAGGCCTTCAAGTACAAGGACCCGGTCTTCATTTGGTTCAGCTCAACCTCATTTACCGAGTGGCTTACTTAAGCTTCTCCGAGACCCCGTAGTACTTTAGCACGGAGCTCTGTGCCTGGTACACACCTACCATGATGATAGTCTAAATTTAAAAGCTTGGTTCTTTTTATAATTAGTACTTAATGCCAAAGCCCAGAGGTTCTAAATTCTCAAGTACTCCCAGGTGGCTGTGTCTGGCCTTGACCACTAGACAGACACAGGGACCTCTGGTGCTGACCTTGGCTCTCCACAGGGAGAGGTCTCTGCTTTGGGAAGAGTGGACCCCCCTGCCTCCCACGTACAGGAAGACAAACTCCCAGCTCTAAAATATGTGGAACCATGGGCAGGAAGAGACCTCAGGGGTACCCCGGGTGCCAGCCTCCATGCTGCAGAGGAGGAAACTGAGGCCCGGGAGACAAGGGGTCACCGCCCGGTGAGGGGAAGAGCTGGGATGAAGTCCACATGGTCTCTGTGCTGACAGGGCCGGTGTGGAGAGGGGCACGGCAGACAGCGGAGGGCAGAACCCCTCTGGGCTGGCCCACTCCCCTGCTCCCCAGGCCCTTCACCTGCAGCACACAGTCCTCCCTCCGCGTGTGCCCTGGGGAGGGGCCGGGCCAGGAGTGCGTCCCTCAGCTCTGCCCCCTGGGCAGACGATGCCAGGAGGCATGACTGTAGCATGGGCACATTACCAGAGGACACGCTAGATGTCAGTGGCTTATCTGCTTTCTCCCGGAACGTAGCTTCTCTGGCCTAGTCTCCACCGCAGTCCATCCCTACAACGGGGCCTGGCACACAGTGGGTGCTCAAGAAATGTTGGTCGCATGAACAGATATGCTCCCAACAAAATCCAGGCCCAAGGATCAAGCAAGCAAACCACCAGCCTGGCCTGAGGCCTGAGCCTCTGTGCACCTGTTGAAGATGGGCTCAGACCAGCGCCCCGATGTGCACCGAGCACCAGTGTGGGCCAGGACAGCTCTCAGAAGGGCCTTGAGTTGTGCATGGGACGAGGGAGAGAGACCGTCCAGAGAACAGACCACCTCCTATGACGGGATAGTGCATCCACCTGCCCAAAGACAGGGCCACGTCTGGTTTTCCGTGGCCCTGGGATTTGGGGGCTTGGACCCAACGCAGGCCCAGAATTGCCATTTGGGCCCCTGGGCTCCATTCCCATCAGGGCTGGGCCTCAGTGCGTGGGCAGCTTCTCTGGCATCTTGCGGGACACTGGGACGGGGGCCCGATCTGGGATAAAGCCTCCCACACCCGCAGAACCCCTCGGAGCTCCCCGCACAGCCCGCCCTCCCGGCGCCACTTACACGTGGCCGGTCTCGTGAGCCACCACGAAGGCCGAGGAGAAGCCGTCCTCGTGGTTGAGGGTACAGCTTCTCAACGGGTGGCACATGCCAGTGACAGGCGCATACCCTGCCGGGGAGAGGGAGAGAGGGCGGAGAGAGAGGTCATGGGGAGGTAAAGCAGGACTCAATGAGGTCTGTGACTGACCGGCCACTGCGGGGACATCCTGACGTGGTCACTGCCAGAGGCTGCCTGGAGGAAGAAGGATCCTTGCAAGGCCCGCCCCCCGCCCCCCCCCAGTACAGCAACCCCGAGCCAAATGCCCCCACACCCTAAAGCTCCACGGAGCCCCTCAGGGCCCACAGCCTCCTCTAATCAAGGCAGTGGGATTTCCAGATGCCCCAAGCCTGCCCAAACCCGACTTCCAGGCCATGCGCCTCTAGCCAGCCAGTCAGCTGGTCAGTCAACAAACACATTCCAAATACTTTCTGATGGGGAGGGCAGGGGTAGACTGTGTTACATTCTATGGGGAACCAGAGGAATCAGATCCAAGCCCCCCTGCCCTGCCCCTGTCCCTGCCCCTGCCACACACCCACACTTAAGGAGCAGATGGCTTAGCAGAGAGACTAGGTGGTAGGAGGTCAGCTCACACGAGGGCCCGCAAGGCTACAGTCAAGGGGCATCATGCCTGTGCAGGGGGCATGTGGAGGAGAGAACAGATTCAACTAAGGGGGTTGAGGGCGACCAGGTAATGGCTCATGGGGGGGGGGGGG